CCTTCAAAACTCATGTTAAAATTTAATTGCCATTGTGATTGTGTTGGGAGGTGGGATCTCTAAGAGGTGTTTAAGTCTTGGGCCTCCACCCTCATGCATGCACTCATGCTGTTATCATGGAGTGATTATTACAGGAGTGGGATTGCTCCCTTTTGCTCTCTCTTGCCCTCTCTGCTCTTCCACCATGTCATGAAGCATCAGGAAGGTCCTCACTAGAGGCCAGTGCCTTGATATTAGACTTTCTAGTCTCCAGAACTGTGAGCCAATAAATTTCTGTTCTTTATAAATTACCCATTCTGTGGTATTCTGTTATAGAAGCACAAAACAGACTAAGATACTCTAGTAGCCATTCAAAAAAGTTGATTTCTGTCACTTGCAAACCTGCAGTAGCTTCACACGGTTGAAATCATGTCTTTCTGTCTCGGGCCAGGCATTGTCTCCTAAAGGCCTAAGGAGTGCTGGAAAAATATTTGTTAATTAACAGATAAGGTCTGGGAATCCAACATAGATGTGGGGACCAGAGCTAGTGATTGCTCAGGCCACAAATGAAGCTTCCTTGTTAGCAGGGAGGCGGGATGAGGCTCAGAGAAGAAGACCTGCCTCTGCTGCCTGGAATGGGGTAGGCAGACCATTGGAGCTCCAAGAACATGGAGCATTAAGAAAGATGCATAGCCAGGAGCCTTAAAAAGGCAAAGAATGTTTTCAGACACAGCAGGGTCACGAGGCTCTGTGACACTTACTCAAGGGTACAGTGATTCAGGTCAATCCATCCTCATCATTTGTCTTGCATCTCAGTTGAGGAGAGTACATGCTCTCCACAATAAGCACGGTATGTCAAGTCAAGCTAGGCTTTGAAAGCCCGACAAACTGTAGAATGATAGATATTGGCAAATAAGATCTTTAACAGCATGTTTCCATTTTTATTTTATTTTGAGAGTCTCCCTTTATCACCCAGGCTGGAGTGCAGTGGCCCAGTCTCAGCTCACTGCAGCCTCAACTTTCTGGGCTCCAGTGATCCTCCTGCCTCAGCCCCCCAAGTAGCTGGGACTGCAGATGTGTGCCACCACACCTGGCTAATTTTTGTATTTTTAGTAGAGAGAGAGTTTTACCATGGTGCCCAGGCTTGGCTCGAACTCCTGGACTCCAGCCATCTGCCCATGTCAGCCTCCTGAAGTGTTGGGATTACAGGCATGAGCCACCAAGCCTGGTGAACAGCATGTTTCTCTATAGCACTTAGGGTGCATAAAGAGCCAGGGGTGTCCCAGCATCGTTTTCATCCTGAGTTAAGACTATTAAATCCAACTCCTGGAAGTCCATGCAGTGCCCATCTTCAAAAGAGGTCAGAGTTTGTCCACAAGCCAAGTAGCCAAATGACCAATTTATTAAACGGACCATTTGCAAGCTCAAAGACACTAACACTTTGCTAACATTACCCATGTATAAGGTTTATAGCAATTTCTATTGAATGGAGGGGCTTCACAAGCTTTTAAAGATTGATGTGATACTCTCTTTTGCTCTCATTGGTTTTTATTTTGTTTTCAGAGGCGCATTTTAAGGAATTTTCTATTTATCAAAATATAAGGGTGGTTTATTCTGCCTTTGAATATATTTAACTTATGAATATTTGACATATTCAGGAAGAATATGTTCCTGAATGTGGATTTTTCTAGAGTGTATTAATATTATGCTATTCGATTTACTTTCTTTTCACTCCCTTACTCTGCTTCTCTTCTGTCTCCCCATGTCTCAGTTTCTCCCTTTGCCTCCTCCTCATATCTCTGCCTCTTTTTTTTTTTTTTTCTTAGAAACTGGGTCTTGCTCTGTTGCCCAGGCTGGAGTGCAGTGGTATGATCATAGCTCACTGCAGCCTCCAACTCCTGGGCTCAAGTGATCCTCCCGCCTCAGCCTCCCAAAGAGTTGAGATTACCAGTATAAGCCACTCTGCCCAGCTCCTCTCTACTAAGGACAGTCACTCCTCTTACAATCACTCCCCATCTCTGCCTGTCAGTATCCTCGCCTCCTGCACATCCCTTGTCCTCTCTCTCCCATTCACTGTCCCCCACCTTTTCTCCTTAGCCCCTCCTCTTTGATGCCTGTCTCCCCACCCCCATTTCCTCCTATTTTTCCCCTCTGTCACCCGCAGTCTGTTTACCTCTATTTCTCCTTTCCTGTCTCTCCCTGCAGTAGCAGCAAGCTGGAGGCAAAGATAAATTGAACATTCTTCAATGTGCTGCCATGAAAAAATACAAAATCATGTACTGCAGCTTCACAACCACTGTAGGAAAACGTGATTAGAAACCTTATCCGATATGAATTTCAGTAAACTTTGTGAATAGTTACAAAGAAGCCAATGTTTGGTAAATTGGGCAATTGGTCAATTGAAGAACTGGCTTGAAGTTAATCAGCCTTAAGCCCATGAAAAGAATCCTGAAGGAGTTTCTAGGTCGGCGAGGTTCTTACTTAACGATCAAGGTCCCTATGACAGCCTTCTCTTAGGAGGCCTTATTTTAGTATTTAGGGCAGAAGGCCTGGCTTCATCTGGATTTTTTGCAAGCCATCAGCCACTGATGGGCTGGGGCTTTCTTAGTGGGCTGGGGATGACGTTTCTGTATTACAGTCTCTTGTCTTTTATACATTCAAAAATTAATTTCTGTTGTTCAGACAGGAGTAGGAAGAGCAGATTGAGACAGTGGAAAGGAAGCACATTCCAGAATCAGACCTTTGAGCAGTTCCTCAACCTCTCTGTGCCTCAGTTTGCCTATTTGTAAAAAGGGAAATCTCCCTCATGAGGTTGTTGTAAAGGTAACATTCAAAAATGGCAGCAATAACACTACATAACATTAGATAAAACACAAAGCCTGGCACATGGTATGTGCTCAGCATGTTTTAAAAATGCATAGGAGTGCCCTCTGTATACCAGACACTATGCAAGCACTATAGACACGGTATACAATAATGCATAGATCTTGTTCCTTAGACTATGAGAATTTATATTTATTGACCATTTCTTGTTCTTGTCAGACTCAAATCCAGGTTTCTTTGACCCACAGGCAGAACTCACAATCAGTTCTCTCCACTAGTTGCCTCGAATGTTCAAGATAAATAATGGACACTTAGCTACTTGTCTGTGTGGAGAGCTCTTTGTGAGTATTCTTTGGTCCTGAAGGACCCTGAGGAGTGACTCTCTCACAGGGAGATCTTCTGAACAATGGTTTCTGACCTGGAAACAGAACAGCTGCAGCTTCTGAAACCGGGATTAAAGTCTCCTAAAGTCCCCCAGTTTTGAACAAGAAGAAGTTTTGGGGATGCAAAGCAGAGTGAGAATGAAGCTTTTTATAAAAAGTAAATCCTTTTGAAAAGACATTTATAAATGTGATCAGAAACTGAAGAGAAACCCCACATCAAACTTTGTTAACATTTGATAGTACATTTCAATACATCTTAGTCCAAGACACTCAGAAAGGTAGAAATAAATAAATCACATACAGCCTAGTTTTAAGCATCATATTTTAGGTAGGTAAAAATATCTCATTTTAACAGATCATGCAAAGGGGAACACAAAATACAAAGTACCAGCTTGTACAGGCACTCCGTTTGCTATGCATGTTATGGTTTAGCATCAAGTTTTAAAATGTAAATCACAACCAGATCGCAACATAAACACCAAGTAAAACTATATGTTCCTATGTCTTTGCTAGTTTTTGTTTAACAGGTATGGCTATAAAAAATTACAATGACTTTTTGACAACAGAACTCACAGATAAAAATGTACCTGGTTCCTTCAAAGCCTCACCTTCTGTAGGTGCACAGGAACTCTATGTCAGCTGTTCTTCTGTTCAACATATTGTTTTGAGCTGCCACCACTCTTGGGAATAGTGTGTGTATATATGTATGCACACTCAAGAGGGCACATTGTTAAAATATTTTAGTTTATTGAGACAGAGTCTCACTCTGGTGCCCAGGCTGGAGTACAGTGACGTGATCTCAGCTCACTGCAACCTCCACCTCCCAGGTTCAAGCAATTCTCGTGTGTCAGATTCCCAATGGGACATGATGGGCATGCCTCATCATGCCCAGCTAGTTTTTATATTTTTAGTAGAGACAAGGTTTTGCCTAGTCTGTTGGTCAGACTGGTCTTGAGCTCCTAGCGTCAAATGATCTGTCCGCTCGGCCTCCCAAAGTGCTGGGATTACAGGCTTGAGCCACCACAACCCGACATTTTGGAGAAAATAGGCTACAATAAGCTGGAACCCCAGAGGATTTTTATTCTAACTTTCTCACATAACTAGCTATGTGACCTTGGGTACCTCTCTCACCTTGCTGCACCTCAATTTGCTCCTCTGCAAACTAGAGTTAGAAAACTACCCTCCTGTAGGGTGTTGTAGGGCTTAAATAAGATAAAACTAGTACAGCCCTCAAAAAATATCGCATTCTCCCCCATTCCTTCTTTTAATTTTTAATGTGCAACCATTCACAAATATTTCATTTCTCTTTCTTTTGAGGATGTCTTTTGCCACCACTTTTTTAATAGCCAAAGGAAATCTGGAGTTAAAAATGATGGGTGTGCAAGCTGCATAATTTTCTATCCACTCTAAACATGTGTGATTAAAAAATAATAAGGCAGAATAACCCGGGTGGTTCAGACACTGGTTCTGGAGAAAGCTGTAAAAGAGGCTCAGAACAGAAGTTTTCTGAGAAGGGGCAGCCCCTGTGGAACAGCTGTCATGCCTCTCAAAGTGACCCCTGGAAGGGGACAGCAACTATTCACATGGATAAGGTCTCTATACAGTCACACAGCTCCATTCTAGGAAGGCTCAAGAGTTCTTTTCAATTCTCTGATGGAACCCTAGCCATGTGTTCCTTCAGTTTTCAATCATTTGACTCGGAAAGCTTGAATTACAATGGGAGTCTGAGGCTCCCACAGTTCCTGAGAAGCGGGAGAGCTCCATCCAGGTCTAATTCTCTCTCTCTTTTATTTTTATGGTTTTTGTTTTGTCTTGTTTTGAACCCAGTTATAAGAAACAGGTCTAATTCTCTTGCAAAGATTCTGCTTCCTCCTCAAAGTTCAAGCTCTCTGCTGATCACAGCCATCTGCTGTTCTTCCATGGTGCCTAAGATCTTTCCAAACTACCCAGCCCCCAAGACTGTGGTTTGGATTCCAAGAAGCCCAGGTGCCTGCCTGGCAACACACAGGCCTTTGTCCTTATTTCCTTGTTGGACATCATAAGGATCACTTTGTTGCATCCCCTTGGAGTCTCCCTTAGGAGCGAATGTGCAGAATTCTCTTGAAAGTCTTCTTGAAGTTCTCATTGCACAAGGGGTAGATGAGGGGGTTCAGTGTGGAGTTGATATAGCCCAGCCAGATGGTGAACATGTGCAAATGTTCATTGCAACAGTTCTTGCAGAAGGCGATGACCATGAAGAAGATGAAGTAAGGGATCCAGCAAAGGATGAAGGCTGCCATGATAAAACCCAACTGTTTGGCGGCCTTCCTTTCACGGTTCATGTGCAACCCAGACACATACTGTCTCGAATGTGAGCGGAGCCTCTTCCAAGTAAACTTGATGTAATCCAGGCCTGTGTTAGACCCACTCCTCAATTTGCCTTTGCCTGGTGCTGTCTCTGTGGTGGTGTCTGAGTCTGTTCGAGAGAAGGATTGGCTATCACCTAACATCTGATCCTCTGACATCTCACTGGCCCCATGCGTGTTCAGGCCCTGCTCTTCCATGTTGAGCTGGCCATGGCTTTGGTTGCTGGCTGCATAGTCCCTGCTACTCCCCTCTGCCACAGTCTGCATCTGCACAATATCAAGTGGGAGGCAGTGGAGTTTGTCCACCTCACCATCATCCTCTTGACTGAAGACAACTGGGGATTTCATCTCCTCGGGGGTTTGGGATGGTGACTTCAAGATACATCCACCACCAGCATCTTTTGGCTTCCTTTTCAGAACTTCCCAGGGAGACTCCTTCCCTGGTTTCTTGACACCCTCCTTGGGGTTCTCTGGCCTCAGCTTAATTTCTGAGAAGGAAGGGAGGGATCCATTGATGAGCTCCCGGTGCTGGCAGTGTTGCCGGACAGCCTTGTAGATCTTGGCATAGAACCAGAGCATGAGCAAGGTAGGCAGGTAGAAGTTGATGATGGCAGTCATGACCTTGAACCAGGTGACATCATAGAAGTCTGTCTCACACTTATCCTCTCGGCGCACCGAGGTCTGCCGCATGAAGTGATTCCAGCCTAGAATGGGAATAACCCACAGAAAGGAGAGAAACCAGGCCCCCAGAATGGTGGCTGAGGCTCGGGTCTTGGTGCGATACTTCAGGTACCTGAGGGGCTGCTGGACAGAGCGGTAGCGATCAATGCACAGGATGAAGACACTGAAAATGGATGCTGTGCTGGCCACATAGTCCATGGAAAGCCAAAAGAGGCAGAGAGGACGGCCCAGCGACCATCTGGACATGAGCAGGTAGAGGATGTTCATAGGCATGACGACAGCACCCACGATCAGGTCTGCCACCGAGAGGCTGACGATGTACAGGTTCCCCACAGTGTGTAGCTTCCGCTCACTCCGTACAGCATACAGCACCAGCAGGTTGAGCCCCACTGTGACCAAGGAGATGGTGCTCAGAACCACCACCAGGGGCATCAGCTGGGGGCTGGCCATGGTGGTCTTGTTTCCCTGACACATCTTGTCTTCTAAGAGGCAGGAGGAATTGGGGAAGGTCATTGGTGCCAGAGCAGCTGCCAGTTATGACTCACTCCCTGGGAGAAAAGACAGAAGAAGTAAGGTCAGAGACTTGGTGATCAGTGGCCACTTAGTAGCATGATGTTCATCAGACTGGAGTAGTATACTTTTGGGAGTGATAGACACTGCTGGTTACCTACTCAATAGCCATGTCCCCTTTTTCCTTATTCATGCATTCCTTTGCTCATTCAACAACTATTTATTGAATTCCTGGCACTCTTCTAGGTGTTGGGGATATAGCTGTGAACAAAACCAACAAAAATGTTTACCCTTACGGAACATGCATTCTAGTGAAAGAGTTGGGCAGAAGCAAGGTAAATAAAGAGTTTGCAGAAATCTAATTCTGCACATGTTATGGGAAGGTGGGCTGCATCCTCATATGTCTAAGCAGAATATGACAATCTAGTTCCTCTTTACGGTGGTGGATAGAGGAGTGACCATGAGATACCATCATGTCCAAGGAATCAGATGAGGACGTCAAATGGCAGAGGTGGAATTTTTAGAAAAGTTCTTCCTCTCTGACAAATGAGCAAAACAAGAAAAATTGTTGTTGCTCACTTGCCTTCTCCTTCCTGACAAGATGTAAGGAAGTGATGTTTGAGGCCATGACAGTCATCTTGGGACCATCCAAGAATGCCAAGAAAATGCCAACCTAGGGCCCTGCTATCACTAAGCTGCTGAGCCAACTCTGGAATCTTCTTCTCCCAGACTTGTTATTATAGGAAATAACTGGATTTTGTTTTGCTTTGCTTTTTTTTTTTCTTACATCACTGTTGTGGGAGTTCTTACTTTCAGCTAAAAGCATCTCTAATTGATATGCAGGAGGTTATATGGGGACATAGCAGAGGCACATAAAACATGAAATAAATCTAGCATAACTTCTTAGAGGAAAATTCCCAAGTGGGAAGGGGATTATGTTATTTGGAAAAGCATATTTGTTATTTTACTTTTCTATGTTCTATTGAAAAACAAACAATTGTTTAAATTCTATATATCATACCAAGTAATAGGAAACAAGCTGGTAGGCTGGAAATGGGATTACAGCTCACACCTGTAATCCCAGCATTTTGGGAGTCTGAGGTGGGAGGATTGATTGAGGCCAGAGTTAAAGGTAGAATGATCACTTGAGGCCAGGAGTTGCAGCCTGGGTAACATAGTGGAACCCTGTCTCTTAATTAAAAAAAAAAAAAAAAAAAGAAATTAAAAAAAAAATACCCCAGTGTGATAGTGCACACTTATAGTCCTAGCTACTTGGGAGGCTGCGGTGAACTCTGATCACATCACTGCAGACCAGCTTAAGGGACAGAGCAAGATCTTGTATCTGAGAAACAAAAACAAAAACCCTTTGCTAGTAAGGCTCTACTGAAAACAGACTATATCCTCTGTTATTGGTGATCCTCAAGTGGTGTGGTTGGGTGAAAGCAAGTATTAAATCTTCTGGACGGAGTTTTTAGATTTTTTTTCTTTTTTTTTTTGAGATGGAGTCTCACTCTGTCACCCAGGCTGGAGTGCAGTGGCACCATCTCAGCTCATTGCAACCTCCAGCTTCCAGGTTCAAGTGATTCTCCTGCCTCAGCCTTCCAAGTAGCTGGGATTACAGGAGTGTGTCACCACATCCGGCTATTTTTTTTTCTTTTTTGAGATGGAGTCTTGCACTGTTGCCCAGGCTGGAGTGCAGTGGTGCAATCTCAGCTCACTGCAACCTGTGCCTCCCAGGTTCAAGCAATATTCCTGCCTCAGCCTCCCAAGTCGCTGGGATTACAGGTGCCCACCAACACACTCCGTCACTTTTTTGTATTTTTAGTAGAGATGGGGTTTCACTATGTTGGCCAGGCTGGTCTTGAATGCCTGACCTCATGATCCATCTGCCTCAGCCTCCCAAAGTGCTGGGATTACAGGCGGGAACCACCCCAACCAATCTTTTTTTCATATTTCTTAAAATAGAGATGGGTTTTCACCATGTTGGCCAGGGTGGTTTAGAACTCCTGACCTCAGGTGATCCGCCCACCTCAGACTCCTAAAGTTCTGGGATTGCAGGTGTAAGCCACCATGTCCAGCTGATTTTTTGTTTGTTTTGTTTTTTGGGTTTTTTTGACAGAGTCTTACTCTATCACCCAGGCTGGAGTGCAGTGGTACCATCTCAGCTCACTGCAACCTCTCCCTTCCAGGTTCAAACAATTCTTATGCCTCAGCTTCCCAAGTAGCTGGGATTATAGAACTGCACCACCACGCCTGGCTAATTTTTGTATTTTTAGTAGATAAGGGGTTTCATCATGTTGGTCAGGCTGGTCTTGAACTCCTGACCTCAGATGATCTGCCCACCTCGGCCTTCCAAAGTACTGGGATTACAGGTGTAAGCCACTGATCTCAGCCAAGTTTTTAGATTTTCATATTCATCAAAAAGTGATGAGTTTAAAGAAAACTGAGAAACTAATAGTGTAATTTTCTTTCAATAATTTAGCAAAAACAAATTATTTTTACATTAAGACAAGGCCAGATAAGTTCTTGAGTAGAAGGTGAAATTTATATAATTTTTTAAGATAAAAAACTCAAGGTGTTTGATCCTTATGGAGGGAAACTTTTAAATGTCTCTGTTGGAAAAGCACCATTTGGGGCAGCACTGATTTTGCCCACGCTCTGCCATTTATTTTGTCGGTGATCTCTTGGCCTCCATCTTCTCATGTGTCGAATGTGTAGGGTAGGGTAGACAATCTCTGAGGACTTTTCCAGGTTTCTTTTTTACAGCCTTCCTCGAGGCATTTTTTGATGTCCTCCAGCTCTGAGCTGCCAATCAGAGCAATCCTCTGATTGTTGATGGCACCACCTCTGACTTCTTCAATAGCATCACTCTCTCCTTGGATGACCCAAAGTCCTGCCCTGTGTTCCTGTCACTCTGTGCTGTCAGCCTCAGTGGTGTCATCCTCTCACTTCCCTACCCTTAGCCATCACCTCCTATGAGGACAACCCCCAAACCCACAGCTCCAGTCTGTATTTTTCTCCATTCCCACATCTAATACCTTGTAGCTTAACCTTCTGCCATGATCAAGTCCAAACCCTGTGGAAATGTCCACAGCCACCACTGGAAGGAAGAAAGGAGGCCATGAAAGGAAACTATCTTGGGGCCCCCAAATCACTAAATTAAAGGGAAAAGTCAACCTGGGAACAGCTTAGGGTAAACCTACCTCCCATTACATTCAGTCACGCCACTGCTCACCAAGATAAATGCATATCCAATTGCCTCTTTTGGAGAGGCTAATCAGAAACTCAAAAGAAGCAATCATGTCTCTTATCTATTGTTAGAGATGATAAATTCCTCTTGAAAAATCTTTAGTTCCCTGTTCTTTGTTTCTTAAGACCAGCTTCCTTGTACTTCCTTGTTTCCTGGCTACCTGTTCTGTGAACAACCTTACCGCCTTTGCCATGCCCAGACAAGTCCACACATGCCTTCCCACCTAGTAACAGACAGTCCCTCTTCCTTCCTGCCTAATAGACCCTATTCAATTTTAGACCTTAGCTAATCAAGTTAGCTTAGATTGTGAGGTCCAACCCTAGCCAATGGGGAAAAGACATAGAAGTGCTAGGAACTGCATCAGGGATAAAAACCCCTCCCCTACCCCACTTTGTGTGCTCTTGAGATTGTGACTGGTGTAAGCTGCATCCTTCTGCAGAAGTAAATTTGCCTTTCTGGGGAATTTTCTGCCTATATGCTAGTTTTCTTTGCAACACTGGGCACTTGTTTCTAACAAGGAAGCTGGTCTTAAGAAACAAAGAACAGGGAACTAAAGATTTTTCTTCATCCTTCTCCATCTGCTTCCCATTCGAGACACGTCCTGCTGCCTTATTGTGGTGGCCTCAGGGGTAAAGGATCAAGACCCACCTTGTGTGAAAATAAACCTGGACTCTCAGCAACGTGGGAAGAAAAGGCCTATAGATACCACAGTGACCAGGTAACTCCGTGCACAGACTAAGGTAAGAAAACCCAGAGTGGTGGTGAAGTATTTCCTTGGTGGTGGGGACATCCTGGAGGTTGAAAGTGCGTGAGATGCATAATTGAGTGCAGAGCAAATGCAGAGTCTGAATCTGCTTCTGCGGACACCTCCTATGGCTTAAAGGGTCTTGACTGTTGAGTTTATACCAACCTGCCTTTGCAAAGAGGGACCTGAAAATTTCCACAAGGGAAGCAGATGGAGAAGGATGAAGAAAAAGCTGAAGAGTGCAAGAAACCTCCAGTGGGGGCGGAGGGGTTGGGGGCTGAGCCTCTAGGGTGCAAGAAAGCTCTAGTAGGAGAGGCTGAGCCCCGCAGACTCGCCGGGGTGCAAGAAATCTCTAGTGGGAGAGGCTGAGCCCCGCAGACTCCCCAGGGTGCAAGAAATCTCTAGTGGGAGAGGCTGAGCCCCGCAGACTCGCCGGGGTGCAAGAAATCTCTAGTGGGAGAGGCTGAGCCCCGCAGACTCGCCGGGGTGCAAGAAATCTCTAGTGGGAGAGGTTGAGCCTCACAGACTCATTGGGGTGCAAGAAATCTCTAGTAAGAGAGATTGAGTCCCACGGACTCAGGGAAAGACACTTTCTCCAGGACAGGAAATACAGTAAGTAAGAAGGAAGATAGGAAAGATTATGATTATGATATCTCCTCTGATAGTCCTGTAGGCCTAATGGTAGAATATTGGAAGGATAATGGAAAGACCAAACACAAGAAAAAGCAGCAAATGATAAAATGCTGCTGTTTTATTTGGACTAAAGAACCTTCCTGCCCCCAGGCAGCTGCCACCCCCAACCCTTCCCCTACTCGTGTTATTCCTCCCCGCTGTAATCCTGAGTGTCGCCCCTCAAGATGACTTCAATGTGAGATAGAATAATGTAAGAAAGATACACAAAATTTTCATTTCCTCAGTACCTGCAAAGAGTCTGCTCTAACTCTTTTTCCCTTAAGGGAAGTGCCTCTTGGAGGAGGGGGGTGTTGGCTTTGTGAATGCCCCTTAACCAGCTAGAAGTCTGAAACCTAAAAAAGGAGCTTAAA